GCTTGAGGCGGCTTAGGTCTGCAACCCTTGGCACAGGGCCAGGCAATCAGTGCTGACAGCGTGGCACAGAGTGATTCGGGAGGGATTGGGACCTTGGGAGCTGCTTATGGCAGCTCAGGTCTGGGGCCCCCTGGCCCAGAGCCAGCAGCCCGATGCAGACAACACTGCACGGAGGGTCTGGGAATGAACCGAGCCCCAGTGTTGCATGAGGTGGCCCAGGCCTCCAACCCTGAGCAGAAGACAAAGTCCTCAGGAGCATGTGACGGTGCTTGGGCTCCAAGTGGGTGAGCAGCCCAGGAGGAGTCAAAGGCCCTGGAGTCTCCTGCAAGTGAGAAGCAACGTGCCTAAGGGGCCAAGGACCACTCTGGACCCCAAAGTCATGAGTTGCTGGGGAGAGGGATTCCCACAAGGGAGGGGAAATTCCTTCAGGTTAATAAGGGGCTCCTAGAGAGAGAGGGCCTCTCTGAGTTTATAGGCCTCATTGGGGTTTGTGGAAGGCCCAAGGGGCATTAGGATTTTCCCCTCCCACTAGTCACTGGGGTGCAGCCAAAGCCTTAGGAACAGCCTGGGCTTTGGAGACTTTTAAAGAGTCAGATTTATTTTTGATGTTTATGCGCCTTATAGTTTGTAAATTTATTGTTTATTAGAACTTAGAGTGTATTGTCTATGTTGGGGCCCTGCTGGGATCCTTCCCTATTGCTTACCTGTGTTCACCTGCAACTTATTTGAAGTCCCAGTGGTGGTAAACTGTCATAGATATATATATATGTATATAGAGAATAAGGTTTATAGTCACATATTATATGTAGATATCTATATTTATATTTATTTTTGAAGGTTCCCTGTAAATATTAATACATTTGTATATAGTTAAGCATTCCCTGACTCTATAGGGAATAGAGGGAACTGGTTTGTATTTGCAGTTCCCTCTCACAGCACTCCTGCCTAGCTACCCATTCCTTCTATTTGGAGAGGGGAGCACATACTTGAGTGCACCCGGGTTACACAGTGAAAGGAAAGGGGAGAAAGAAGCAGTTGTTGGTGAAACGGTTGGGGTGGCTGGCTAAATTTAACAGCTAGGTAGAAGCCTTCCAAGTTTGTAATGTACAGGGGTAAAAGAAAAACCATTACCTCTGCCAGAAGGATGAGATGAGTGATGATGGCTTATACATCACCTTGCCGATTAATGTCAGCACCAAGATTTTCCCACAGAATACCAACTTGAACTTTATCATACAGCTGGCTAAATCTTTGGATCTCCTCGGAAACTGCAAAGTAGGATTAACAGAAATGCAGTACTTGCACAGCTGGAACAATATTAATGAAGACTCGTCTTTTGAAATCATTTCTAGGGATAAGAAATGGAAGTACCTCCTGCATTAGGGGTATTATCCAACCATTACAGATTTGCTGGATCCAATCAATGATTTTATTATCATCCCCCATGCCCCATCCCAATTAGTTATGATCTAGGATCCCATGGGTAGAAAAGTGAGGCGAGCTAGTCTGTATTTTGGGGTTTCCACTGGGGGGCTGCTGTTAAAAAAAACCAAACAAAACCCTTCTTCCCGTCTGGCATTACTGGAGGATTCAATTTTCTGTATCCTTGCATGGACACTGGAACATCAGCTTGTCAGGGGCTTTTCAGTTCCCTTATTATGCTGCGTCCCCATCTGCAGAAGCAACAATATTTGTCACCATCACATATGACAAGCTGCGTTATGTCCCTGTAAGCCAGCATCGCATTGACAATCGGCATTGAAATAAAGATGGATCAGAACAAACGCATCTCATTTTGCTTTGGTAAGGTGATTGTTAAGTTTCACCTATGCCCCTGGAAAACTTTGAGATTTAAAAATAAGTAAACTCATGACGGTGATGGTAAAAAACTATGGGGATGCTACCTTGTATGAAAACTCTTATGCGTGTTTCTTTTTATGGTATAATGAAATACTGTTTGAGAATTACATGGTTCTTTGGGTAAATGTGATATCTTTTATTAGACCAACTAAATAGTTGGAAAAAATGTTCTTTGCAAGCTTTTGGACACAAACACCCTTCTTTAGGCATAGGGAGAGTCTGCTGGTGTCTGTGCGCTCCCCTGGGTTGAATAGAAGTTTAAACTAATATGCAAAATGAAGGTCTGTGAAAATGCAAATACATAGCAGGGAAGATCAGAGGGGATGTGAGACAATAGGTAAGAGACAGGTAAGTGGTGGGGGGGAAGCGGGGAATGTTGAGCTGATGATAGAATGTAGCTAGTAAAATGTAGAGAGTTTACCTGGGGTTATTATGTGCCATAGTTTTTCTTGTAGTTCATATGGAAATGATTTGAGGGTGGTTTTGAGTTTTAAAGTGAAAAGGGGAGTAGGATCTTCCTCTAGTTTTTGTAGTAGGTGGTGTCAGAGAGTTGTCTGTTGGCTTTTTAATGTAGTTTTCACAGTTAAGGATAACTATAGCTCCTCCTTTATCTGCTGGTTTTATTACTATTTGGTGGTTGGATCTTAGAGATTCTATGGCACTTCTTTCTGAGAGGGAGAGGTTGTTATGGTGGTGTCTGTTGATTATTTCATTGTTCATTCTTTCTCTGAAGCAGTCAAGGTTTGAATTTCATCCACTGTGAAGTATCCAATCTGATATTTTCTTGGGTTTTTTTGGTGTTTTATCATTTCCTCAGTGTTGTCATGGGATGAAGTGTTGTTGGATGTGGATTGATTTTGGTTGTTGAAATAGTCCTTGAGATGAAACATCAGAAAAAAATATTCTAGTTCTCCCCATTGTAGTATATTATTAGGGTTATCATTTATTAGGGTAATAATATACTTCCTCCCCACACCTACCTGTTGCACCTTTTGTCTCCCATCCCCTCTGATCTTCCCTGCCACACATTTTGCATGACAGGCAAATAAAGGAGTTGAGGGTCCCCTAGAATTGGAGCTGGGACAGGGATCTCATGGCTAACAGCAGACGTCATGGCAGCCCTTGAGCATGCCCTTGTCACAGGCTGCAACTGAGTTATTTAAACATGTTAGTTGAACTAAGCCAAGTATATACAGAACTGTTCTACGCTATAATTAAGTGCTATGAACTGCTGCATGTTAACTACACTGGAATGCTTGCATAAACAAATTAATTCACCTGCATAAATGTTTGCAAGATCATGCTCTATTAGTAGCATTAGAGCAAAAATATTTACAATCTCTCTTTTAATTAACACTGTATACTATAAAGACTGTCAAGTCCCCTATTTTTAAAAAATATTCTCACTGGTGTTTCTTGCAAATGTTGATTTGAATATATTTGCATTATGTTTTTTAATGTTTCTTATACCACAGTATTAGTAAGGAAAATGAACGTTTTAGGCTGAAGAACAATGCTAGTACAAAAACTAGTTATGAACAAGTTTGGATCAGAAATTAGCATATTTATTACTATCAGAGGAATGAAGTTTTGGAATGGTCATCCAAACAAGACATTAGGGACAAAGAACCTGAATAGCTTTAATACCAAACTCAGTAAGTTTATGGGAGGAATAGTATGATAAGATAGAAAGCTCTTGCTTTAGTAGTCAGCATGTGCGATATGTGGACTTACATTGGTATTTGGAGCACAGAGGTAACTTGCAATTTGGTAAGTATCTGGCAGTCCCATCCTTCAGAACTTCTGCTAGTCACCTGCAGGGGCCAAGAAGGAAATCTTTTCCCCACATGAATTCTTACTGGATTCGGGGGTTTGGGGTTTTTTTTCCACTTCCCTCTGAAGCATTGGACAGTGACTACAAGTAAAACTGGGAGTTTTGATTAGGTGCACTGGTGTTTCTGCTGCTATTTACAGATACTTACTGATCACCTTTGTGTACACTACAGAAACACATGTAAACCAGGACAAAACATATTTTTTGAAATCAAATTAATGAATATTTTAGATGTTCACTTTTTAGAATATTATTTGATATTTTTCTGGTTCTGAGATGGCAAAACCCCTTCCTGAAAGGAGTACTTTCAGGGGCAAGGGGAGGGACTTCTGGTGGCAAAGGTCAGGGGTTAGGGGGTGGGACTTCCAGTCCCAAGATGGTGACGGGGGGGAGAGGGGGGACGCAGGGCACCTGTCAAGGGGCAGAGCTACCTATGTAGCCCTCAACAGCTTGTCAAAACTTGGCAAATGGTCCTCCACCCAAAATAATTGCTTGCCCCTGGCCTACAGCAAATGGCTGCTTGTAGGTGGCTGCAGATACACAAAACTTACATTAGTGTAACTTACACTGATATATTTTAACCTTGTATTCCTGAAGTAATTCAGCACCAGATTCAAGTAAGTTATACTGGGATGGGGGTTTACATCATGTGTCTGCTCCATGCTTACACTGGTTTAAAGATGAGATACACTATGTAAATAAGCCATGTGTCCAAACTCTTTAACTGTTGTCCACCTACGTACCATTTTAGGTATGCAAGTAACCCATGTATATGAGACTGTTATTTGAAATGAATCTAGTGTACAATGGGGCCATGTCTATACCCCATGAGCTCTAAAGGTTGCTGTAGATGGTTTCAACAGCAGATAAAGTCCTTATTCCCTGAGCAGCACAGGCCACAAGGGTATGCAGGATGCAGACCTAGCCCTGAGGGGCACTGCTATTAAGAATACAATCTTACACAAACAGGGCTCATTCATTCATACTTAAAATGGAGTCTGTGTGTTTGTGTGTGACCAAAACCTTTCAAATAAGAAGTTTTATAGGGTTTCATAGTTTGTAGGGTCAGAAGGGACCTGAGCAGATCATCAAGTCCAAAGGGTAAGTAAACATATTATACATATTTCAATTTATAATCATGATATTCATTTCTTGGAAACATTTTGAATAAAGGAAAGTTGTGAAAGGAGCTAGCTGATTTTTTTTCAGGTGAAAGACCTTATACGTTTTTTCTTAAATTTTAAGGGTATTCATTGTGATTTGTTAATTTAGTAACCTTGATTCATTTCTTATTTTTCATGTTTAGGACTTCAGTCATAAGGCCACTCTTTTGAGAGATGGCAGAATCCAGACCAGTGAAAACAGAATTCATGGAAATCCTGTTCAGTGGGTAAAAGCACTACTAGGAAATGATATTTCTGTGAGCTGGAAATATGCGTGGAATAAGGTAGGTCCATTGTTATCCCTAAAAACATCTGTTAGGAGCTTTGGAATTCTTTCCTCTAAAGATCCTCATCTTAGTAGATTGTCACTCTAGGATCTATGCATCTAGCTTTGCAATCAGTTGGAAACTCCTGTAATGTAAAGGTTCTAAACCATAAGGTACCAGACACCTGAGAAGTCCCTTTAAGCACCTTTGCAGTATATGTCCTAGAAATTCCTCAACAACTTCATTAGTCTTTTACCCTCAGCATTCTTTTCAGCTTTTCCTTGTATTTTTAAAAGTGCATTGTACTTCTGCTGTCTATAAGAGTTGGCATTTTAACTTCTCTCAGCACTTAGGGTAAAGCTGATAGGGTGCAGAGCAGGCCTATAGTGATTCTTTAATTAAAGGTGTAAGAAAATGGTTAGCTAAATAGGTGCAAAAAATAAAGTGTTTTAATCTGACAACACATATCTTTATCCCTTCAGTTCCCCAGTTTTTATTCTCTTGACTATTCATTGAACTCATTTAATAATAATTATTATAATATTTGGGATTAAAATGTTATAGAATTTGGTTCTGCTTTAAAAATATTTTTCTTTCCTTTTTATTTATGTTGTACATTTTCTTTGTCTTAATGTAACTGAAATGCAGATTTCAACAGAGAGTTTATATTTTGGTACATTTTTTTAACAGTTAGTTGTTCAGTTTATTTTGTGAGGGAGGTTACAGCAGAACTGATGTTGACAAGTATGGCCTTTGAACTTTATTCAGTGGTAGTTTCAGTGTGTCCTGAATCTACATGTGCCCCCTAAACACTGACTCTTTCACTTTCCCACACCTTATTATTGTTCCACACATACTTTTACAACTTCTGGACGGTGCTAATAAAGAAGAGCAGGAGACAAGTTGCTTGGATTCTGAGGCACTTGGCAACACCTCAGCAGCTAAGTCTTTCCACAGAGCAAGAAGACAAAATAGTGTCTCTGCTTGAAGTTGCAACCTGTCCCAAATTTCCTGCTTACAAACTGATTTTATTTGAGATCTGAACTTGTGTCCCCCATGTAGTACAAATCCAATTAAGCTGATGTTCAAATGAGACATGCTCATCTGCAGATGGGAAAAATAATACTATGATGTATCTAAGGTTTACATGAGTGTATCTGTACAAAACTGGATGCAAATATGCACTTGAAGGAAGAAACAACATATACAAATGAGGCCCATGCACATTAGTTATGAAAGACACATGATGTCTCTTACTCTTATGACAAAAAATACAAAGTAAAAGAAAAGAACCAGTTATTCATATAGAGTTGTTTGTACACAGGTTGCATACCTTGGGACAGAGCTGTCAAAACTTCTGGTTGAAGAAGCATCTGTTCCTAACAAACCAGAAGTAACATCACAAGTAAAAGAGCCTTCTGGTATGTACCGACTTAAACATAGTTTCCACTTTGGTTGGAAGTAGTAGAAAGTGGTTTTTAATGTGCTGAAATTTCCACAGTTTATTCACCCCCTTCCTGGCTTGTTTCAGGAATTATATTCATTACAGATAGTACGCTTGAAAAAATATTTAGAGATGCTGCTTTCTACCCTGGCCCATGGCAATGTGGTAGAAAGAATATTTTTGAATGTTTTGGATGCTAGATAATTTTATCTTAAATTTATTTAGTATATAAAAGAAGCAGTGATCTCAATAATCAATGTAGCAGTTGTTTGTTGTGCTCTATACTCAGGTTAACAAGCTGGGAATGTAGTTATATGTGCATATTAAAACATGCTTTTCAGGCAAAAGAAATAAACCTATTTGGTAAATACTCTTGTGCCCAACAGAATAACCAGTGTTTCTTTACTGTCTAAAAATAAATGAGAACAAGAACTAAAACCACGTTTTAATTGAATTAGCTAGCACTAGGCAACATTTTCAAAGGCACTTAAGTGACTTAGGAGCTTAAGTTTCATTTTCAAACTTAGGCACATGTAGGAGCCTAAATTCCATCATCTCTCAATGAAACTTGGGTCCACACAGAAACAGGGAGACTTAAGTTCAGTTTCTTTTGCCTAAAGGGATTTAAACCTAGGTCTTCCGTCTCTCAGGAGAGTCCTCTAATCACCAGACTGCTGTAAGGCATGATATCTATGCCTCATTTTTAAAGCTGTTTATAATTCACAATTCACTGGGCTTGTGACAGGAAGCAAAATGAGCCTGAGTATCCACCAAATAAGTTTGTTTTGCTTGAAAAACATGTTTTAATATGTCCATGTGATTACATTCTCAGTGGCTGCGTCTACACAAGATGCTGACTGTGCAGTCATTTAGTACCTGTATAAAGAAGTACTAAATGACTGTGTAGTAACTGGAGTTACTGTGTAGTAGTCAGATGACCCCAGCCAGGTGTTTGTCCAGTCTCATCTTAAAGACACGCAAAGTAGGGGAGAGCACCACCTCCCTTGGAAGCCGGTTCCAGATTCTGGTCACCCTTACTGTAAAGTCAAAAACTAAAGTGCCTATACTACTTCAGTGCCTGTGCAGTTAGTCAGAAGTTGAGCACTTTAAAGACTGCAATTTGTGCAAAATCCACTTAAGTCCCTTGGTAAGTGCCTGAGGCGCTTGTACACATGATGGAAATTGCCTGTTTTCGTGGTTTAATTGTATCATGCTATACACGTGCAGTGGTTTTACATGATTTAAAAGAGTTTGTTGCATTGCAGACTAAACCACATTCACATGTAGTTTAGCTTGCAACATAGCTTTTTGTAATACTACAGCCTTTTCCCAGCTTGGCCTGCCTCTCCCCCCATCTCCCCCTCCACTGAAGGCAGAAGTGGTGAGGGTCCCAATCCTTTTTTCTTTCCTCAGAGCTTGCCTGCATCTCTTGCGGCTGAGGGGCAAGCTGTCAGCAGGCTGAGCAGCCCCTGAGCTGTGGTGAGCCCCAGTCCATCCTTCCATGGCAGCGGTGCACCCCGGGGCCACCCAGATAGGCTGCTAGTGGGCAGGTGCTGCCCCCAGCTCCGGCTTGGGGAAGAGTTAGATTGGGCTGGGTGCTGCCTCCAATCTGGGGCAGCACCTGCCCACTAGCAGTCTGCCCGGCAGCCCTGGGGGGTGCTACTGCCATGGAGGGAAGGACCAGGGGTCCCCACAGCTCACTGGCAGCTCACCCTCCGGCTTCAGAAGAGGTGGGCAGGGTACACAGAAAAAAAAGAAAAGGATCAGGCCCCTCACTGCTTTTTTTCCCCCAGTGGAGCCTGCCTGCATGAGCTACTGCTGGACCATGCAGCCCCTGAGCTTTTTTTGGGGGGGGCTTGGTCCTTCCCTCCGCAGGGCAGCACCCCTCTGGGCTGCCCGGGAGGGGTGCTAGCTGCGCGAATGCTGCCCCAACTCACAGGCAGCACCCTCTGGATCCAGCTCTTCCCTGACCCCATGCACTGGAAGCCTGCTCCCCAGGCTTCTAGGGTGCAGACCTCGAGGAAGAGCTGGATCTGGCAGCTCCTGCCTGTGAGCTGGGGCAGCACCTGCACAGCTAGCACCCTACCCAGAAAGTTCTGAGGAGTGCTGATACCATGGAGGGAAGGACCAGGCCCTCACAGCTCAGGGGCTGTGTGGCCTGGCGGCAGCTTGTGTAGACAAGCTCCGCCAGAAAAAAGAAAAAAAAGTGGCGAAGAGCCTGATCCTTTTTTTTTTTCCTTTTGTAAAGCCTACCTGCCTCTCCCATGGAAGGAGAAGAACTGCTGGCAGGCCCTGAGCTGCGGGGGCGCCCGGTCCTTCCTTCCACAGTGGTAGTGCCCCCCGGGGCCACCCAGGTGGGCTGCTAGCAGGTGGGTGCTGCCCCAGCTCAGAGGCAGTACCCAGCCTGATCCACCTCTTCCCTGAGCCCAAGCTGGGGCAGCACCTACTTGCTAGCAGCCCACCTGGGCAGTCCTGGGGGGCACCACCGCTGCAGAAAGTAGGACTGGGATGCCTGCAACTAAGGCATCACTCAACCCTTCCACCAGCTGCAGGAGATGTGGGTAGGTTCTGTGGGGAAAAAAAGAAGGATCGAGCCCCTTGCCCTAACAGTGATGGAAGCCCCTAAATTGAAACAATGAGTTTTTAATCGTTGCAATTAAAAAACCAACATTTTAATTTAGGGGACAAAACCCCCATCATGTGGACAAGTGACCTATATCTCTCCTTTAGAGAGGAGCCCTTTGTCCCCTTTAAGGCCATAGTATTCAACTATTTTCATTGATAAGCTTTGACACAATTTGTATTTAAATATTCAAAATGCAAAAAAGGATTGCTCTTATTTCTTGACAATGCTTCTGCAGAGCTTTCTTTTACCAGCTGATGTTTTGTTAGCTGTTTCTTCCTGCCCATTAGAACCAGATATGGAGTACTGAGAAAGGAATCTTCTGCACTTGCTCTTGGAGCTATAATCCTCTGGTTAGCTGTAAACCACAGCTCTCAGACAAAACCTCTACACTTTTCCAAAACATGCCTCAGTAGGTGGGCTTCCAGGCAAAGGAGCTATAATCTCTGTTTATATTTACTGAATCCAATACTTTAGAACACACAAAAACAGAGATGCTTTTTGTAATCACTTTTCTTTTGTTTCCTTCGTGGGGGGTTACAAATCAATTTTTTAAGGTTTAATTTGATTTAGGTAACATATCTTTGGTGGCTTAGCTCCTGGTGTACTAGCTTTAGACACAATTTTTGAAGTTTGAAAACTGAACATTAAACCATTAAAATGAGTGTTGCATTCAGTTAAGTAAAGTACTCAAAAAGTGAAGTATTACAAACATATTTATATACAGCAATATGTAAGTACATTTTTCCATAGTGCAAGAAAAATAAACCAGAAACTATTGGGCAATGGGAATGGTAATGCAATACCTTCCCTAGGAAAGTTGAATTCATAACTCAAGCATTTTAATTTGACTTAACCGGTCAAGGACACATCTTTCTTTTGCTTAGTGCAGACATGGTCCAGGTGCTTTCACATGTGTCACTTCACAGGTATAATGGCTTCCAAGGCCTTGATCCTGAGAAATATGCAGGTGGACCTTTGTACCTGTGTGGTCTCCTTGAAGCCTGAGCGGCTGCCTCTTCACAATGCTGTTCTAAGTACAGAATCAGGCCTATAAGTGGTATTATTGATCTATGGGCAGCCCAGGTCTCTAGTCCTTTCCATGGCTAAATGGCTTTTAGGGAGTAGTCTCACTTTATTGGGACTTCACAGATGAGCTAGAACTGTTCAACCTAAGTAGTGGATGTAGACTCTGTTCTCATTTGTGGCAGATGACAGAACAAGGAGAAATGGTTCCAAGTTGCAGCAAGGGAAGTTTAGGTTAGATATTAAGACTATGTTTCTCATTAGGAGGGAAGTAAAAGCATGGGATCAGGTTACGCAGAGAGGTTGTAGAGTCTCCATCTTTGGAGGTTTTAAAGACCTGGCTTGGTAATGTCCTGACTGGAATGATATAGTTAGGGATGATCCTGCTTTGAGCAGGGGGTTGGTCTAGATGACCTCCTGAGGTCCCTTCCAACCCTAAATTCGTATGATTCTATGAATCAGATTCTGTTTCTGCTGTCATGCTGGTGTAACTTTGCTGGCACCACTTATGTCAGCATGAAATTGGTCAGATTTGAATTAGGTCCTAAGCCTTAAAATGGTAAAGAAAAATTCCAGGCTAGCTGTTTGCAGGAATGCAAACTGAAATTCAGTTTTATATATGAGGATGTATTATATTCATCAGACTGAAGAGCTGCATAAAGGCTTAATATTCACCAGCAAACAGGTGCCGGGGAGCGAACAAACAATATTTGGTGTTAAGAAAGTCAGAGCTGATGCCTATGTCAGAAAAGGAAACAAATTTGTCATTTGTATATTCCAGAATGGCTTGAAAGAAAATGAGATTATAATAATACATGTAGTATGCATGTAAGCATAGTATGTAGGCTACTACTGCAAGAGGAGGGTCTGCAGAAGAGGGCATGCCTAATGTGGTCCCTGTGCCCTGGGGATCCTCAGATGCTGGAAGAGACTCTGGGACCATTAGTTGCTTTATGTGGATTAGAGCAGTCCTCACAGACTTTTATTTTGTGACAGGCCTTAGAATGGGAGTGGGGGGTGTTCAAAACAGTATGTTGCTCTGAATTGCCACAGCTGGGTGTGGGTCTGCTCAGAATTTTTATCTCCATGCCAGTTCAGATCTGTGATACGAGGTGAATCATTGGCTTTGGTAGTGTTGCATAAATCTAAGTGAAAGCAGTGTTTTTCCACTATATGCAATTCTGTGTATTTATGTTTATTTTGAGCCAAATAACAAAGCTCTCATATAACTTATACCAGTGATTTTCAGCCAGGGTGCCATGCCATATTAGCACTGTTAGGTGTACAAACATGATTCACAAGATAAAGCCAGTGGGCACATCCACACG